TATATATATATATATATATATATATATATATATATATTTATTTATTTATATTTATATGCACCTGCTTATGCATGCATGCATTTTTACATGCTTTTGTGCATGCATGCATTTGTGCATGCATGCATTTGTGCATGCACGGATGTATGTGTGCAGGTTTTGGATTCTTTATTTTTGTGTTTTGATAAAAGCGCTGAGCAGTTTGGGTGTACGAAGATCGAGACTGTCTTCGAGACTTACCTCGCAGGTATAGCCCCTTGCAAGTGTCTCCTTGCTTACTGTTTCATCTGCAACTGTCTCCTCGCTAACTGTCTCCTTTCGTCTGTCTCTAAGCATTCGTCTCTGCCTTTCCACCCATCTGTCTCCTCTTCATTTTCTTGTCTCTCACTCAAGCGTCTCCTCCATGCACGAACAGCAGTTTGTCTCCTTTGTGTGTCAACGGAGACACTATGTATGGATGAATGCTTGCATGCACTCTATGCTTGCATGCATGCAAGCAGATATAATCCATTCTTTTGGGGCTTTGTTTGGGGTGTCTACGCACCTCTATGTGCATGCAGCTGCGGGGCTGCAACCCGGCAAAGGCGGCGAATCCGACACTTCACAGGCAGACGCTGCGGACGCAATGGAGTACGTTCTTACCCTGCATGCATGCATGCATGCACGCATGCATCATGTTCAAGTGTATGTATGCATGCAAGGTTTTGGGGGCTTGAAATAGGGTAGGGGTTTGTAGGGATAGAGCAAGAGATTCTTCTTTTAGTTTTTTATTTGTTTGTTTGTTAATTTGTTTCTGTTTGTTCGTTTATATCTCCGTTGACCTCTTGTATTTTCTTTTCGTTTTCCCCCATAACAAATATACTTATTTATTTATTTATTTATTTATTTATTTATTTATTTATTTATTTAATTTATTTATTTATTAATGCAGCATGGCGTTGGCAATGCTGGAGGTGGCTGCACAAATTCGTTACGAAGTAACCCGCGAGATTTCGTCTTCAGCTGTGGGGGCTCTAAATGATGAAGGTGAGGCTTTTAATGTTTTGTTTGTTTATTTAGTTTGTCTTTTGTTTTATTTTATTTTATTATTATTATTATGCTTGTCTTTTTGTTTTGTTTGGACGTGTTTATTTGATGTCTTTGTCTTCTACTTTGTTTTGTTCTTTAACGGGTTTTCTCGGCTTTTGTTTTATTTGTTTATTTGTTATGAGTTGAGGGTTTTGTTTGTTTTGCTTTGTTCTGTTGTCTCCTTTTTAATTTCTGTTATTTCTTTCTTCACGTTATTTATTTATTTATATTTCTTTTGTTGATGTTTGTTTGTTTTATTTGTTTCTTCTCATCATCCAGCAAGCCCTAAAACCAAACCCTTTTGCATGCAGTACTCCTTATGTGTTGTGATTTTTGCGTTTGCGTCTGTCAGAGGCCGCTGGAGCAGCAGGACCTTCAGCTGCTGCTACTCCTGCTGCTCCAGCTGCTGCTGCTGCTGCTGCTCGAATGGGCAGCAGCAGCGGAATGACGCGCCAAAAGACAGCGACTTTGAGGACTGTCCTCAGCTCCAGGCCTCAGCGCATTCGCGTTAAAATTGGAATCAATTCGGGTACCTACCCTCCCTATACACCCCATTTAAGTGGGGTGTACGTACACCCCAGGGCTTGTTGAGGTGCATGTTCACCCCATTTAAGTGGGGTGTACGTACACCCCATTTAGGTGGGATGTGCGTACACTCCAGGGCTCGTTGAGGTGTACGTACACCCGAGGGTTTGTGTAGCTGTGAGATGTTTGTGGGGTGTGCATACACCTGAGAAGGACAGGCCGATCCTGCTTGGTGCTTGTGGTGACTGTCTCCTCGCACTTCAACTGTCTCCTGTCTCCTTTTAGGACGCGTCATCAGCGGAGTTGTTGGGGCGAAGAAGCCTCAGTATGCGCTCTTCGGAGACACCGTAAACACTGGTGAGGAAGTGTAGGCCTTTGCTGTCTCTTTTCTTTATTTCTTATCTGTCTTTCTTTCTTCTCTTTCTTTTCTTATCTTTCTTTTCTTATCTTTCTTTTCTTTCTTTCTTATCTTTCTTTATCTTTCTTCTCCTTCCTTCGTTCGCTTGCTTCGCTGTATGTACACCTCTGTACACATAGCAAGAAGCATAGAAGAAGGTAGGCAGAAGGATACAGACAGCACAAGAAGGAGACAGAAGGAGTTCTTAATGATTGTGTTTGTGTTGTTTGGGGCTGCATGTATGCACAGCAAGCCGCATGAAGACAACCGGACAGCCTGATTACATTCATATAAGCGAGAGCACTTACGATTTAGTTAAAGAAGACACAACTCTTTTCTACGAACAAAGAAAAACTCAAGTTAAAGGCAAAGGAGATATGAATACCTATCTCCTTATCCGAGTCATGGGTAAGAACCACCACGCACACAAACTGTCTCCTCTTTATGCACACAAACTGTCTCCTCTTTAAGCACACCAACTGTCTCCTTTTGAGCGCATAGACTGTCTCCTCCTTATGCACACCAACTGTCTCCTTATCTGAACGCACCAACTATCTCTTTTTTAAGCACACCAACTGTCTCCTTTTTAAACACACAAACTGTCTCCTTTTGTGTGTCCCCCCGTCTCTTCTTCGTCTCTTTAGCAGCTGTCTCCTTCTGTATATGCAGTCTCCCCCCATTATTATTATTGCTATTAATTATCATTACTATTTATTATTGTTATTATTTGTTATTGTTTATTATTGCTATTGCTAATTATATTATGGTTGTTGTCCCTACTGTCTCCTTTTAGGGTCTTCTTATCCTAACTTCGGAGATGATGAAAGAAATCTCTCCGGGCCTCTTGGCAGCAAAGATGGGGCGGGCCTCAACCCTTTTGTGCAGCCCTCAGCGTCACGTAAGCTGTCTCCTCTTGCTGCTGCTGCTGCTGCTGACTCTCGCTTGCTGCTGCTGCTGTCTATCTCTCTCTTGCTGCTGCTGCGGCTCTTGACGCTGCTTCGCTTGCTGCTGCAGCCTCTATTGCTGCAACTGTCTTTATTGCTGCTGCCGCTGTCTCTCTTGCTGCTGCAGCTGTCTCCCTTGCTGCAGCTGTCGCTCTTGCTGCAGCTGGCTCCCACCTCTCGTGTGTCTGCGTCATTGTCCAGCCCCTGTGTATCTTTCCTCTTTTATCTTACATGCATATATATATATATATATATATATATACATCTGTGTATATACAATAGATGTATATATATATATATATATATATACGGATATATGTATGTATATAGATATGTACGTATAGGTATACAGTAGATATATCTATATGTATATATATATTAGATATAACATGTAAATATATATATGTAAATGTAAAAAATATATATATATATATTTATATTGGCGTTGTGTTGCGATGTCTGTACAGTGCCGGGGGAGCGGCTCTCGACGATGTGGGTAGGTCTTTCTAATGCATGCAAATGCATGCATTATTTTACTGTCTCTAGACAGTCATGCAGCAGCAACATATATATATATATATATATATATATATATGTATAATATAAATATATATATATATATATGTTTCCTTTGTATGATTTCTTCGGGGTGTCTCCTTTTAGTTTGTGTGTTTGGTGTTGATTTTGATTTTCATTGCAAGTGTCTCCTTGTTCATTTGTGTGTTTTGTTTTTTATTGTTTGACAGACTGGAGGCCCTGAAGCATCTGGGGCTGGAGGTGCATGCATAGATGCGGGGCTGCATCGTAGTGTCTCCTTTTTAAATGAGCGTCAGCACACACAGGAGACCCCGGGATCGTGTGTGCAATCGATCCCATCCACCCCACGCATGGTTCCTGCAGTTGCTTCTTATTCTTCTCTATCGGGATCGTTGTCTCCTGGTGGGGGATCGTCTCCTCGATCTCCTTCATTACATTCTTTTGAAAGGGTCTCTGCACCTAGAGGAATGCGCAGCTTTTCAACGCTTTCTTCTGCTGTTGATCAAGGAGGAAGTAGTAATCAGAGTGTCTCCTTATGTACAAAGCAGCTTACACGTGCATATGCAAGACAAGAGAGCGTCTCTCGTGTCTTAGCGTTTGCAAGGGATGGGCTTCAAACAGCAGTTAGAGAATCCGCAGAGATAAAGAGACAGGAGATCGTACGGCAAGTGCATGCACAGCTGCTGTATGAACAGCTGCAGCATCAGGGGTCTGTTGCTTCTCTATGGTCTTCTCAAGATGATGTAGCAGGCCCCACAGCGGGTCTCCATTCTAACTGTCTCCATCCATCTGTCTCTTCTCTCCCTCAATTTACCTTTGCACCGTCACACAATGCAGACTTCAGATCTACTTCAGCTCTTCCTCGCTCTGTCTCCAACGCAACACGTGTCTCTCCGAGGGCTCATCCCCCTGCTAAACGAACAACCAGCGAACCCCACAAGATTACAGATATCAGACATACAAGAACTACGCTCACAGGTATATATGCATATATATATATATATATGTTTATTTATATTTTTGTTTAAAGACAATTATGCGTTTTATTTTCCTATCCACATTTATATATATGCATATATATATATATATATATATTTGTATTTATGAATATATAAATACACCGCTGCCGCTGCATGCGTTGTCTTCCCCTTGTGCTGCTGCTGCTGCTGCTGCTGCTGCTGCTGCATGCAGACCCTTCACTAACAACCCAAGCCTCAGGGGGTGGTAAAGGAGGGGGTGTATGGCGTGTAGCAAACGAATTTTTGTTACAAGTTGGGAACGAGGCTCAGGCGAAGCTCGCGGGCCTTTGGAAGGCCCTCGGCAGCAATAGGTAGCCCTAAACCCTAAACCCTAAACCCTAAACCCTTCTGTGCGCAAACCCTACAGTCCCAACTGTGGAAACACTAAAATGCTATTCTTTAGCACATCCTCAGCCTTATGCACACAAACCTTAACCCCTAATACAGACAAACCCTAAACCCCTTGTCTATTGCATGCATGCATGCATGCATGCATGCATGCGTTTGTTTGGGGCCCGCAGCAAAGAGGAAGAACATGCAGCAGACGCCGGTGGAGAAGACGAAGACAACTTTGGTGAGATATCAAACATATTTATATACATATATATAATATATATTGTATTATATATTACCTATTATATATATTATATATACAATGTATATTACATATATTATATATATATATATGTGTGTGTACAGAGACACGAGAAGCGCGGATAGGAGCGTCAAGAGAGAGTTTATTATTGATGAAGTTTAAAGACAGAAATCTGGAGGCCCGCTACCGCACGCATTTTTATAACAATAAATCAAATATAAATACAATAGAACAAGCAATTATAATATTTTTAGTTGCTTTTGCTGTACAGACGCTTGTTCGTCTGTGTCTACCCTGGAATTACACCGAAGTTGTTGACGGTGTTAAGTACACTGTACATATATCCTCGCGTCTTTATTGGAGTGTACGCGCAGCATATACTTGTGCTGCATTTCTTCTATGGATACTCTTTCATTATAGAAACAGAGACGAGGTAAAGTGCAACAAACTTTTTTATCTGTACACATGCATGCATTGGAGTCTCTTTTGTCTTATCTCTCTCTTGGTCTCTCTTCTCTCTCTTTGTCTCTCTTCTCTCTCTTTGTCTCTCTTCTATCTCTTTGCCTCTCTCTCTCTCATTCTCTTTGCCTCTCTCTATCTCTCTCTCTCTCTCTCTCTCTCTCTCTCTCACACACACACACACACACACACACACACACACACACACACACACACACACTTTGTCTATCTCACTCTGTCTCTCTCTGTGTGTCTGTCTCTCTCCATCTCCGTATATATATGCATGTATATATGTATATATATATATATGAATGCATGCATATTCAGCTGTATTTTTTGCTGTGTTTGTCTCTGCGTGTATCTCTCCCTCTGCCTTTGTTTCTGTCTCTCAGTGTCTGTCTCTGTTTTTTATAGCCTTATCTTATGAATATGATATTTTATTATTTTATTATTTTATATTTTATTATTTTATATTTTATTATTTTATTATTTTATTATTTTGTTTGTTTGCAGGTGGCTTCACGCCTAGAGATTCGGTGGTTGGTGTTTATGTTGAATATTTTATTTATATCTGCTGCATGCGTCTTTGCTTTAAGTAATAGCTGGAGCACGGGGACAACTACAAGGCAGGCAGCAGGAGACTCCCCCTTATCATCTCCTGCTGCAGCAGCAGCAGCAGCAGCTGCTGCTGCTGCTGTTGCGCCTGTTAGTGCTATGGCTGGGGGTGGGGCCCCTTCTTCTGTACTGTCTCCTGGAGTAGCTTGGCAGACATCTACATTAGGCAATGATATGTTAGCATATATAGGAGGAGGGGCAAGAGTGCGTATGCCTCAGCATGTACCTTTAGATTCACCTGTCTCCTTTTTAGCTGCTAAGCCTGGAGCTACTACTTATACTCAACAGCCTCCTGCTAGCTGCCCCTCTGGAGAATGTACTTCTATTAGCACACAACCACCACCTCCTTCTCCTACTGATGATGTCTCTTCGTTTATATGGAGACGATTGTCAGAGGAGACAGCAGAAGGAGACGACGAAAAGGAGACAGATAAGGAGGCAGAAGCAACGGAGACAGATGGCATACATGCATCTCCTCCTCCAGGAGAGACGGACACAGATGGGACAACAGCAGCAGCTGCTGCTGTTGCTGCTGCTCCTCCTCCTACCCAAGCAGCAGAAGGCGTGACAATTACAGTTGAAGTACCTGGTCAAAGAGGCGCATCTTTCTGGCTTGTTGCAGACAGCGTTGAACTATTCTTTTATGTTGTTATTCTTCATCATAACACCGGTCTCCTCTTCCAGAACTGCATCTTAGTTGATGTTCTTCTTCTTAGCACTTGCCTCACCTTCATCCTCACTGGCGCTGTCTCCACCTCCAATACAATCGGGTACATAACCACACATCAACTGTCTCCTTTCCTTCCTTCTAGACCCCCACCAAGCAGCTATATATATATATATATATATATATATTATATAATATATATATATATATATATATTATGC